GTTCAGACTCACCTGCTGCTCCAGGGGAGCGACCGGGGCACTGGCAGACCTCCAGCCGCCTGTTTTTGTGAGACAGTTATTATGACGCAAGCAGTCCGTCAACAGGGAACCCACGAAACGGAACAGGCGTGTGATCAGTCGATGGTGGCCAGTTTGCGGTTTCGGGGCTCGCCAACGGCTGTGTTTGTGGTTTCGAGGCTCACTGGCGTCTGTGTCTGAATTTCCCCGCTTCGATTGGTACGACAGAATGCGACACTAATGACCACGGTATTTATATGCATTGCAAAGTGACAGAAAGGACCAGCGCGAAGATTACCTTCTGCGAGTGACAGACAACGCTCTAACCAGGCAGCAGTGAACGGCTTTGTTGTTTTCCAGCCCATCTATCTATTCTATATATCTACTTATCTATCTATGTGTATATCTATCTATCTACCTATCTATCTATTTATCTATCTATCCATCTATCAAGCCGTGTATATATATATATATATATATGTATATATATGTATATATGTATATATGTACACACACACACACATATATATATATATATATATGTGTATATATATATATATATATATATATATATATATATGTAGATTGGTTGAAAAGCGTGATGCAGTCCTGAACCTACATCCGAAGTATCCATGCATGCGTCTGCCATTTCGCTCCTCATTCATTTCCCTTCGTCCACCCGCTTACTTCCATGCTATCCTCAGAGCACTTCCCGCCAGCTGTTTCTGCTGTGCAAATGGGAGGTGAGCCGGAGCGCGTTCGAAGTTTTCGGACCGGCCGCCGGCCCTCTTCCTTCGCTGTCCCCTGAGCGGTCGCTGACACGGACGGCAATGCGGCACTGCTGTGTGGTTATTGCTGGGACACGATGCAGTAACTGAACTGCCCGTGAATTTGGAAGCTTTAACTGAACTTGCTGTGGCTTATCAAATACTTTCATGCCGAAGAATTTCGTCCGGGCGGGCTTGTGTGCCATGCTTGCAGGGGCTTTACCGACGTTATGAAGTTGTGAGTGTAATCCGGCGTGGTTTATGTGATCCATGTGCAGTTACAGCGCTGTTTTCAGCCAGTACCCAGTAAGCATGTTCGTATGTCATGCAAATAGCTGTAAACGGACTGCTAGATATATAAACTTCCGTTAGACCACTTACAAACGTCTTGCTTCGTCTCCACTTCTCAGTTAAATTTAAGTTTAAGAAGTGAAATCCTAAACGTAGACGAAAAATTTTAAACTTACGAAGTAAAGCCATTAACTTAAGACTTCAACTTAACTTCCCGCAGCTTTAGATTTCAACGTTGTTTAAGCCTCCAATAGTTCCTGCAACGAAGAGCGCGCTTATGGTCACTCGGTCAGCTGGTTACCATGGTCACTCGATAAGAACAAGTCACCGAACTAACATCGTGAACACTCAAGCCACGCGAGCCCACGTGCCGGCTCATCGCAGCCAAAAGTCCGAAGCAGCAGGGAGACGGTCGCTGTGACGAGGGGCCTGTAGCCGTCACGCAGCTGACACCGTAACGAGGGCGGTGCTAGGCCGGAATACTCGCACAGCCGTGACGCCATGCGCTGGTGACAGAGTACAAGCAGCCGACCAGTCTCTGTTTACACCGCTAAATTATCACCCGACATGCTTGGGCCCTGTGGAATGGCATGCAGAGCACGGTTCCATAACCCTGTTCCAGTTACATACCGCCACTCGCCCGGCTGTTTATTTATCCTGCCTGTCTAAATCAAACCAGTGGTGCGGCCGTGCAGACCGGAACTCCAGTGGAGCTGGCGGCCCGTTTGGCGTTAGTCTTGTCGGTCCTTGTCTCCGGCGCGGCGGTGGCGGGGCGAAACGTCGGCTGCGAGCGCCGTACCATCCTTATCGCGACCGTCGCATAGGTCGTCCCTAGCAGGAGCGGGCAGGGTTAACATGCCGTCGTCCGCGGTGTTTACTGACTCGCTTAACTCGCTCATATGTATCCGCGGTGCACGGACCGCGGAGTAGCATGTCGTACAGCTGATCGCGCGGCACCTGAGCGGCCTGCGATGTAGGGGGCAACAGGCAGAACTGGTTTGGATCCCCAGCCACGTCGATCTGGTCGGGCACGAGTCTGCTGATCAAGCTGCGAAGGCAGCCACTTCTGCTGCTGAAGACGCTGCGCGGGTTCCTGCGAGTGGGTGACCTGCACGCGTTAGTCAGGCATTACGTCTCAGCAGAGTGGCAGACGAGGTGGAGTTAGGACAGCACCCAGAAGAAAAACTTAAAGCCGTTTAACCAAGGATGGGTCGTCCACACTTGGTAAAAAGGTGCGGTGAGATGTTCACGGTTGAGCACGCGCTGTTCGTTTCTGTGCTTCTGGGGACCAAGAGGCTGCTCTAGACGCGCAGTAGTCCCGACTTAACTTAGAGGTGAATACCCAGATACTGATGCTACATGACGCACCGCTGTTGTAACTGCACTGTCTGACACCACGCGGCGTGCTGACCTCAACAGCACCATGAAGTCACCGTTAAAGTCAAATATGGCGAGAGCTCAAGCTGGTACAAGTTTTTCAAAAGCAATGAGTTTATC